ATATTCTGTGATGTAAATGTTGTTAGTCTTGATCCCTCAGTGCCTGACTCCCAATGTCTCTCCTTTCCCTCCCCTCTCTCTCACAATAAACCATTAAGTATGATGGCTTGCCCACAGTGTCACAGCTAGCCAGTAGAAGACCACCTTAGGTACAAATCCACATCTTGGAGACCTTAAGGCCAGAACTTAAAGTGTATTTCTTTTTTTTTTTTTCTAATTCCTGAATAGCCTTGCTTCTTCCTCTTTGAGTGAGAAGCTACTTTGGGCTTTCTTTTTTAAACCTTGAAACTATCCTCATGCATTGGGTTCATCTTTCCTTCTGACTCTCAGCGTTTTACTACTGCAGTTGGGTCTGTGTCGTGGATCCAGGGCCATTTCAGATTATCTTTGATTTAGGGATTTCATTTGGATGGTAATAGTACCATCTCACAGAGTATACATTTTAATTAGCTATATATTTGTTGGTGATCTCCCCTTTAGAATGTAAACTTCAAGAGAGCAGGGAATTTTATCTCTTTTATTCACTACCGTATTCCCAGCATCTAAATAGTCCCAAACACCACAGTAGATGATCAGCAAATATTTGTTAAATATGAATGGATTGGCAGAGGGGGAGTTACGTTTCTTGAAGAGTCCTTCTCTTTAGAGTCTTCTTCCTAAACTACATTGCTTGTTCCTTTCTCTTTATTCTGGCAAATTCCCTGGCCATTTGAGACCTTAGAAGAGTTTTCTAATGTGCTCTTATTCCTAAGGGAAGCTGATGGTTCACATTGCTGTGATTCCCTAAGTGGAGACCTGGGCTCCCGAGGGAAGGAAGTTTGTATCCAGACCAGCAATGTTTACCACATTGCAAGAGGGAGGAGCGGAATTCTTACTCTTAGGGAAGTCACGTGTTGTGAGCCCTGCCCTTGCGATATTGTGATGGTTAGTGCCAGGGCCTTGGGGCTGTGCCAGTTTCTGGGGCGGGTGCCAGAACCAAAGACATGCTCAAAGGCTGACTCTGGAGAGCTCCAGTTAGCTTATTTTCCTTTTTTCTTCATTAAACCTGTATCCTCAGACTGTGGGCCCATATTTATAGGGTGAGCAGTAGATCAGATCTAGCCTTTCTTACCCAGGATTCTAGAAGTTTCTTTTCTGAAACTCAGAGGAAAGTAAGGCAGGGAGGAGAGGCAGATTTTGTATTTGTAGTTGAAAATGCTAATTAGAAGCTCTCTAGAAAATCCTGAGAGAGTCTTAGGTTTTCTGGACCACTGGGAGTGAGTTTAGACCTCATGAAGATGAGAGTTACCTCTAAAGAGGGGAGGTTGGACCCTCAGAACCAAGATGGGCTGCAACAGGGACAAGAAGGGGAAATAAAATGCCCTGCAGGATTTCTGTCACTTTGGTTTGCCTAAAGTTTCTGGTATGGCTGTATACCAGGGTCCAAAGTCCCAGCGAACTGGAGATGAGACAGTAATATAGCTCTTGTGGCTGTTGAAAAATCACACTACTAGAAGTAAGTAATGAGGAAGTACTAAGAGTTTAGGTAAATGTAACAGAGAACCTAAAAAGCGAAGCCTGGAAGCAGCTCTGGATTCCTCGTTGTTCCATCAATGCTAGTTTGGAGCCAAGGAAGCCTTGGCAAACAGTTGTAGAGCAGAGAAAGCCACTTTGTGAAACAAAAGGAAATTCCCTTGGGCATAACCTTTAAAAATGAAGTCCTTTGCAAACTAGTGAATGTGAACTTAGCCTTCTAGTCTTGTTTCCCATGAGACACATCCACATATCCTGTCTTCACACCTTTATGCTTCACTTACTTCCAGCACATCCAAAGTCTAACTTCGCAAGGCTTGTCTTGATGTCACCACCTCTGATGCTTTTTGCAGAATTCTGTGTCAAAATTCATCCCTTTCTTCTTCTCTGGTTCCCTATTACCCTTTGTTTAGAACTCTGTTATAGCAAATCACTTGAAAAATAAAACAAAACAACATATGTCTGCCTATCTCCCACATGCAAATCTTTGAGGTAGGGACTCTGAGTTACTATTTTTTTATTAACTCAGACCTGTTATGAGGGAAGGATTGATGCATCTGTTTCCCCTGCCTTGAATCCTGTAGTGCCTGGCACATAGCAGACTCTCAGTAACTTTTTTGCTTACTAGAATTGATTCTGGGTTAATCAGATGAACGCATTCTACAAGTAGGCTGACCTGACTCTTCTTTCCCTCCCCACTTTGGGCAGTGACCCGCATTGTGGCTGGTACATCGTGCTCCTGGCTCAGTCGCACCTATAGCAGGGGGCACTATTTACTTTACTTACTCCTGACTCCAGCATTCTCCCTTTGATCTCTGCTGCCTGCCCCAGATAGCCACTACCATTGTCCTGCCCCAGGAGCTAATGTTTCTCTTTCCCAAGCTCCTGCCTCTCCACCTCTCTTCCCTAGTATATTTTGAGAATGAGGCCCAAGGAATCTGTGATAATGGGGAATGGCTAGAATGGGATTAAGAGTATGGTCTCTCAGCTCCCACGGGTTCCAGTCTGGTCCAGCTGTCTCCTTTTTATCTGCTCCCTTTTCTTGACACCTTGGGGAACTTGTTCCTCAGCTGGATGGCAGGTCATCTGGGATGTGAAGGATTGCAGGTTGTGATCCTCGGAGAAGCTGGATTGCCCTTTTGACTAAAATTTTGCTGTTCAGGGAAGTAAATAGGATAGTAATTATATGTGTGGGCCCTGAAGCCAGACTGCCTGGTGGCTCTAACCCTGTGCCACCACTTACTAGCTGGGACCATCTCAGCCAAACGGGGTCATGCTAGTGCCTACCGTGCTCATTTATTCACACATAGTTACTGAGCCTCTACCGTGAGGTGACCTCAGCGTTCTTCTAGATGCCAGGGAAATAGTAGTAGAAAACACAAAAATGGTTTAATACATTTTAAGTACTTAGAGCAATGTCTAGCATATTTAAGTATTCGACAATTCTAGCAATATGCTGTTGCTAGGACTTTTCTGAGAATAGATAGTCAGGTGGAATAACTTTGCCAGCAACTGCAGGACCAGATCTCTCTGAGAAGGGGAAGGACAGAGGAAGGGCTTAGATTAGTTTCCACATTTAGACGCAGGTCCAACATTTCTGGCACTTCATTTTGAGGTTAAATACTTGAGCTGAGTGAAGGTCACCCTGAAAAATTGATGAATCTGTTTGATTCCATGGAAAGGGCAGGAGGAAATGACTCTGGACTGCCTCATTCTGCCTAACCCATTTGTGTAGATAGCACAGTGCCTACCAAGTCATGTATGAGTGACCCTAAGAGAGGCTGCATTTCTTGGGTAGTATGAAGGGAGATGCTAGAGGTCAATATATAAGGAAGGAGGGCAGCTGTTTGCCTCCCCACCATCAGGGCTCTCTGGCTGTGGAGGAGAGAACCCTCTTTTGAAGGCGATGTCTTGAGAGTTAGAGAGCTGAACTTAGGAAGGAGAGTGAGGTAGGGTAGAGGTGGTGTGGCCTGGTAGTTTACCTTCCCTGTTTCAGTTCATTCCTCAGGGAATGCTGCCAGAGGGCTGTTAGACTCCTAGTGTGATTACTGGCTAGAGGCAAAGTTTGGACTCGGGGCACTGATTCATTGCCTGTGGTTTCCAGTGAAAGTCCAGGCCTGATATAGTCTTTATGGGGATAGGGTTGGAGTAGAAATGTATGTGACATTTCCTGGTAATCAACAAGGTTTTCAGCTATCCTGACTGGTTCAGCACCGGCTTTCCTGTTTCTCACACTTTCTCTTTTCTATCTTTCTCCCAGGAGGGGCTTTCAGAAATGAATGCCCTTATAGCACAAAAAGGTGCCCTTGACCCACGACATGGGCCAATCCAGGATTCTTGGGTTGGTTCCCATGTGAGCTGCTGGCATGGCTGCTCTTGGGGACCTGCTAACTTGGCTGGGAACCATGGTGATTTGCACGCCTAGGAACAGGTGAAATGGTTCTGGGCCCTTTCCAAGATTCCGAAGTGCAGCCAGGTTTGGGACCACTAGATACCCTACTCTTTCATCTCATTTTTATTGCACTTTGTTCAGTCTTCAGCCATTCCCTCAACCCAGTTCAGCCAAGTGTATGAAACTACAACTAGGCAAATCATTTTGCTCTGGATATAAGTCCACAGTTCATTCTGTAGTGAAGGAAACAGATAAATATAAATGTAATCATAACAGTGTTTCTCAGCCTTTTAAAAATTATCACTTCCCTGAGGAACCTTTTAAGACATTTTTTAGCTAATCACTCCCTCTCAGGAAATTTTAATGCCACAGATATACCAAAAAATCTATGTATGCTGTGTGTGTGTGTGTGTGTGTGTGTGTGTATGTGTGTGCACGCTTTATGCTTTGAAAGAGTAAATTTTTTTTACCCCTCAAGAACAGTTTTCACCCCCTTGGAGGAATCTCAGCCCACTGTGAGCCTGTGGGTGATAGAGTAAAGGAGCGTGGGACAGCAGTGGGGAATGGAAAATGGCAGGGGGCCTCAAAAGTTTTGTCAGCTTTGTGTTTCCTGTCTCCTCTGCCTGAACATCACAGCTCCATAATTTTTTCTTGTGTTTCAGTCTGTCATTACCATTTTGCTCTCTCTCCTTTATCCTGAATTTTATCATGTTTCTCTAGTTTAGGAATGAATTTAATGAAAATAGTAATTTGTTCAGCTCAGGGAAAATTTAGGAGAAATAATTTCCTAAAGTAGCCCTCTAGGAAATCATCCCTTTGGAAAAAGAGCCTAGAAATCTATAGGGTATTCATGGGAAAACATAATAGACCTAAGGATTAGGGGAAATAAGAGATACATTTGGAGTTGCCCTTCAGAGGAGATGTCCCGAGAAATCTTTATATTGGTGCCACCAGGCTTGGATATGGACGCCCCCTATTGGATCTAACTGCTTTATATTAATTCATTTGGGGTTGATGCCAGTTCTGCATGTGGGATATTAGATCGCTTCTCCAGCAGTACAGTGTAACCAATGACAGTATCTCCTCTCTCTTACAGAAACTGCCAGAGGCATGCAGCATTGGTGATGGAAAGCCCTTTGTCATGAATCTGCAGAATCTGTATATGGCAGTCACCAAACAAGAGGTCCAAGTGGGACAGAAGCATCAAGGCACTGGTGAGCACTCCAGAGGTACCTGGTCTGTCTGAGGATACAATTAGGATCTAGGTTTATGCTGTCCAATATGATAGTTTTCTAGCCGCATATAACTATTTAAGTTTAAATTAATAAAAATGAAATAATACTAAAAATGTATTTTCTCTTTTGCACCAGCCTCATTTCACGTGATTAGTAGCCACATGTGGCTGGTGGCTACCAAGTTAGTGCAGACACAGAACATTTCCATCACTGCAGAAAGTTTGATTGGGTGGCTCTGGTCTAGGTGCTTAGAAGGGTTAGCAAAAGAACCAGGAGAAAGATTAGTTTCCCTGGCTGGGTGCAGTGGCTCACACCAGTAACCTAGCACTTTGGGAGGCCAAGGTAGGAAAGGCCAGGAGTTTGAGACCAGCCTGGACAACATAGCAAAAACCTCATCTCTTAAAAAAAAAAAAAAAGTTAATCTCCATACCTGAGACATGTCAGGGAATATGTAGAAGAACAGCTGGCTATTTTGAGTAAAGGAAACTCTCATCCTACCTGCTGAAAGTGGGCCTGGGGAAATCTTCATAGCAGAAACAGGGCTTTCTGAAAGTCAGCTGGAAGTTGGACTTGTGGCTACTTCTGTCTAGTTACATATTTGTACCAAACCCTGGCCTTTATCAGAATGCTTGGTGAATACTAATGTCTTCCTGGTAAGAAGAAGGCATTTATCACTATCTTCTCTTGATCCTTCTGATTTCAGGAGATCCTCAGACCTCAAACAGTGCTTCCCCGCAAGGAATTCATAGCCAATGTGTAAACCAGCCAGAACAACTGGTCTCCTCAGCTCCAGCCCTCTCAGTGCCTGAGAAAGAGTCCACAGTAAGTCATGAGCAGCTTCTTGGATGGTGTTCTGAGAGTTGGCACCTATATCCCCCAAACCAGTGGTCCCTGGAACTGCTACTTCATTGGCACTGCCTCAACAATATTGAGGGATATTTGTGACCAGGCTCCAAATTGTAGGTGTCTAGATGGGAGTCGTGGTCTTGCACATCTTCCCTTGCTGTCTCTTCTCTGTAGTTCTTGTACGAATGATGTGCCTCGACTCCTCTTTCACCTTATCCCACTTCCAGTGATGACCAGTGATAGTCAGCGAGGCTGTTCCTTGGGGGAGAACGGACATCTCCATCTCCTGCTTAGGGTCTTATATCACATTTGCTGCCTGACATAGACTTAAAAATACCTATGTCAGACACTTCCTGAATGCCTCTTCTTTCTAGCTGGGCATGGTGGCTCACGCTTGTTATCACAACCTGTGGGAGGCCAAGGCAGGAGGATCACTTGAAGCCAGGAGTTTGAGACCAACCTGGGCAACAAAGTAAACCCTATCTTTACAAAAAACAAAATTAGCCAGATATGGCGGCATGTGCCTGTGGTCTCAGCTGCTTTGGAGACTGAGGCAGGCGGATTGCTCGAGCCCAGGAGTTCAACGCTGCAGTGAACTATGATTGTGTCCATGTACTCCAGCCTGGGCGAAAAAAAAAAAAAAAGAAGGCCTCGTCCTAACCAGGAGCCATGAGAGGAAGAAAGTTCCTTTCCTAATTTCAGTGGAACTATTTCAAAACCCCTACTAACTTGGGTTCCCTTTTTTCTAGGGTACTTCAGGCCCTCTGCAGAGACCTCAGCTGTCAAAGGTCAAGAGGAAGAAGCCAAGGGGGCTCTTCAGTTAACCTGTTGTGGCCTCAGCTGCTGAGGATGGACTTGGAGAATAGCTTCCAAGCTTCACCTTGAAAGAAGCTTGCATGGCAGCAATATTTCTAAAACAGTGACCCAGTCAGAGGCCTACTGTAAGGGCAAGAAAACTGAAGTTCATGTTGACAGGCCCACAGAGAATTGGCCTTCCTATTCAAGTGGAAGCCAGTCTCTGAGAATCCCATGCTCTCCTCTCTTTTGGTGGAGGTTCTGTAGATTCAGGTTTCTACCATGGACTTTAGGTATATAGGGCAAGTCAGCAAGAAAGCACCACACACTCAGGGAGCCTTGTCTACCTTTCCCTAGAGTCTCTAGCCAGCCAGCCCCCGACACTCCTCAGAGACCCACTTCTGTCTTTTGCATGGAATAAGAAGCACTCACACTCCCCTGCTTTTGGGATCACTTATGCTGTGGAACTCATAACCCAATTCACTTCACTGGGTACCACCCCATTGTTGTCTCTGGATGAAGTCTAGCCATCAGTCCAGTCCTTCAGATTCTTCTTAAACTTCTCTGCAGCGGCCAGAGCTGAACCTGGCCACTTCGATCTTGAGAACTCTTTTCATGGTGGGCACAAGATAGATAGATGATTGCTGCTTTCCTGTGTCAAACTTGAATGCATTTTTCTCTTTGTTTCCAAAGTATAGGCAACAGGTTAAACTACCATGCGGGGCAGTTTATCGATCCTCCCACCTCATCCTCCTGAGTAACTGGGACTAAAGGCACACACCACCACGCCTAGCTAATTTTTGTATTTTTTGTGTGTGTGGAGACAAGGCTTTGCCAGGTTGCCCAGGCAGGTCTTAAACTCCTGGGCTCTAGTGAGATCACTGCCCACCTCAGCCTCCCAAAGTGCTGGGTTTACAGGCATGAACCACCATGCCTGTCCCATTTCTGGTTTATTTACTTGTGATGGTTAAATGCCTCCTTATTCATATATCTTGTATATATACTGGTGTTTCTGTCCTGATGTCAAGTCTCAAGAGAAGATGATCAAACAATAATAAAATAATTATAATAAGAAAAACAATAATAAATAGCTAACATTTATTGAGCAGTTAATGTATACCAGGTACTCTAATGAGCACCTGACATTGATCCTCATGGCATCGTATGAGGAAGATGCTGTTAACCCACTAAGATATTGGGTCTTGAATGAGTAAGTGACTTATCAAAGATCGTACAGCTAATAAGTGACAGCCAGAATTTAAGCCCAGACAGCTGAGTTCTTCGCAGCATTATTATATACACTAATGAAAACATTTATTTTCCAGAAAGGACATTAGGTCCTTCTTTCCAGTCTCCCACTGTAAACGTCCGTATCCCATGACCTTGCCTCCTTTCAATAGGATGTTCTACTCCCCTGGGCCTCTTCAAGGAAGGAGCTCTTGAGGACTCCAGGACTTACCCTCATGCTTTTTCCTGCTAGCAGAGTCTGAGAGCTCCACCAAGGCTCCTTCCCAGTCACTGCTGATAACTTTTCTTTACCCCCAAACCAGAGGACCCTAGAGTGTGCTATGTGGTAGTGACTGTCATCGAAGTGAATTGGGAACTAAATAAAAACAGCCTATCAGCTGGCTTACTTTGCCCTTTCGTTTCTTTCTTTCTTTTTTTTTTTGAAATGGAGTCTTGCTCTTGTTGCCCAGGCTGGAGTACAATGGCACGATTTTGGCTCACTGCAACCTCCACCTCCTGTGTACAAGCGATTCTCCTGCCTCAGCCTCCCGAGTAACTGGGATTAGACACCCACCACCAAGCCCAGCTAAGTTTTGTATTTTTAGTAGACACGGAGTTTCACCATGTTGGTCAGGCTGGTCTTGAACTCCTGACCTCAGGTGATCTACCTACCTCGGCCTCCCAAAGTGCTGGGATTACAGGTGTGAGCCACCGCACTGAGCCGATCTTTTGTTTCTTTTCAGCATAATTTAGATAGTCAGATTTCATTATCTACAAGGCACATGGGAAATGGAAAGGCTTCCCAAGCAAGCTTGGAGAAAATACGGGTTCTTCACCCTGGGCATTCCCTGTACTCTAAGAGCACAGACTCAAGACATTTTTCATCACAGCGGGGCCAGAGGCCTGTGAATCCCTCAAAATAGTAGGTAAAATCTTAAGAGCAAAATGTTGATGTTCTCAAAAAGAATGTGTGACCTTCCAAAAAGGTTAAGTAATAGTATAGCTAGTAACCTTCCATCCTCTGCCCCCATCATCCCCAAAGGTTGCTGTCTCCATGGGGGTATTGCTTAAATACGTCCTTAGAGAAACATTGCTACGAGAGGCCCTGCCATAGGCATTCTTGCCCTGAAGCCCTTACCCCCAAAAACTACGGGTAGTGGTTGAGCATCATTCATCCTAAGGCAACTCCAGGGAAATCCCTGCTTTGACAAATTGGCCTAGCCAGGCTGTATTCCAGCCCTGCCCCCTGGCTTGGGCCCCTCCCTGAGGCCCCCAGCCTGGCCCAACCCCCACTCTACATGCACATAAAAGGGTCGAATTCTCGTGGCTGCTCCATAAATTTTATTCCGTAAATATTAGTTTTCCCTGTGTTTAATAAAGCAGTGGCCCACCTCCCCGCCTACCCGCCCGCTCCCCGGGGCTGGGGCTGGGGCCAGAGCTGGCTGGTGGGAGAAGGGACTCTTTCAATTGCTTTGGAGTATTTTTAGAAAAAAAAATAATATAAGGTGGTTTACACGAGCAAGCCAGCAAACCAGGAGCAGGACTTGGGACCTCGAGGAAGTTCCTGCAGGAACTCGACCTAAAAAGTAGAGAAATAGCGCCACCTAGGTTGCAAGGCCTACTTGGCCTTGCCGGCTGGTCCTCCGTAGTTAGCTAGGACAGGCATGCTCTTTGCTTGGAGAGAAAGCCTCATCCCTTTCCACTCCAGCTGGATAGCACCTCCTTTTCTCATGCCTCAATGGGGACTTCCCCAGCAACTCTTAAAAGCAGAGCTCAGGCTGGGTCCTGAAAGATATCACTAGGGTCATTCTCTTCTCTTGTCACCAGGCAGCCGGTCTCCCAGATCAAGGAGAATTTCCAAGGGATAGTAAAGTTATTGAGAAGGCAAAAAGAAAACTTCTAGTCTCTATCTTTCCCTGACTCCTGTGGAGCTAATTCCTATGGTGTAAGGTGGCAAAGAGTGAGATCTGTGTTCCTATGCTCTGAACTGGAAAGAGTCTAGCCTGTTGAGACCAAAATCCTTCCACAGGCCTGGTGCAGCGCACCCACAGTGAGCACTGGGGGAAGAAGAGATGCTCACATTTCTTGATACTCAGCCCTACTGCTGCTTGTTTTTATCCAGCAGTACATTTGGACTCCCTTTTCTTTCCTTCCTTTTCACTTAGACCTCCCATTTTCCCAAGCCCTTACCTCCTCCTTAGCCCACGTCTGTTGGGAGATAAGCAGGGGCCCCTTGTATACTCTGTACAAAGCTGGCGGGAGGAGTGGGGAATGGAAAAGGCTGTGCTGCTCCTCCTGGTTTCATTCCTTACATTGTCACCAAGAGCATCTTTCTCTCTCCATTTATTCTGTCTCTCATTTTCTCCAACTTACAAAACTACACAAATTCACTCCAAAGAGTATAGGGTAAGCCTAAATTCTCTTAATAGCCCTTCCTCATGATATGGTAAGCTCACTTTGTCTGTTCTGCTTGTGCTGTTAATGTAGACTGTGTTAATAGACACATTTCTTGTGCACTTTTCTGTTTTCATCCTTTCATTAGATTATACTCTTTGAGAACAGGGTCAGTGTTAACCCTAACTCAGAAAATATCACTGCAGGGGTATTATACCATTAAATAATATAATTTTACATTAACTAGGTTTTGATACAATCAGAATATGTTTTTCTAAACTCTGCTGTGAAATAGTTTCTGTCTTCTAATTTTTCTTGAAGAAAAATCTGTTTGAAAGGAATAAGTGACATACCGCAAGGAAGCTACCAAACTCAGAGCTCAAGAACCTTGGTTCCTCATCTCTGTTACTAACATGCATAAATGTATGGGCTAGCAAAATTGTAATGGATTACACTAGGCTCTTAGATACAGAGGGGAATGCAGGAAGAGAAGGAAGCCCACGCTTTGTAGGAGGGGGGTTCCCAGCTGCGGTGACACCCTGGAAGCTGCTACAGGGTACTCTTGTCCAGGGCAGCTCATTGCTCTGTGTTTTTTCCTTGTGTTCTTGGCCAAGGCCTCAGAAGACCTCATCATGAGTGGAACATCCAGTGTGTGGAGGGTATGAGGTAGCTTGTCTTATGTGAGGAAGAGGGACCATAGGGAATCCTTCTCTATTTGAGGATCTAGAAGTCCATCTGTTCTTGATCTTTCATCCCATCTTCTGAGACTTTTTTTTGTGGTGGCCTTTTATGTATCCTCTCAGCTCTGGGCTCTCAGTTCTCTATCCTAGCACATAGGAAATCATTAGGTAGCACCCAAGTATTCTAGCAAAGGCTTCATCACTCTTCTCAGCTATTAAGTCCCACCCCACTCAGTTTCTCTGTCTGGAGTCCAACAGATTTTGCTACCCTTCCACCCACTCGGCACCCAACTCTCATGGGTTCTTGAGAATCTGGGCCAGTCTACCAGGGGAACCCGGAAGAAGCACTGGAAGAGCTCCAGGGTGTGGGGAGCGCACAGCCATTGACTCACCTGGGAAGATTGTGCTAGGATTACTTGTCCTGCTGGGCCAAGGGCCAGTAGTTAAAGGAGCATGCAGTGCCACACTCTTCCTCCCTCCCCTTACTCTGGGGCCCAAAACAGTAGCAGAGTTAGAATTGGGGAGTAGGGCTCAGGGGCTGCTGGGAGTCCCTTCTGAAATGTGTTGTATTTACTTTTTCATATTGGCAGCTGGAAGGGGAAGCCCATCCCAGCTCGGCATTGTTGTCTAACATGGTTAATCAGATCCTATAATCCTGCTGTGGAAATATTGGGCCTCACTCGAAACAATAGAGACTGAGAATATTGTGGTTAAATTTCAACCAACTGCCTCCCTGGCCTGTTTGCCTAACCCCTACCCCCCTCTCCCGGGCCAGAGTCCTCCCAGCTTTATGGACCCCTGATAGGATTGACGGCCAGTCAGAAATGGGTGACAGGAGAGGGGAGAATGGAGTAGGGGAAGGGTGATCCTCTTGACTGCCACTTCATCCTGGCTTTTCCCTCCTACCTCAGGCCTTGAAGGCTGAGCAGGGAGTGGTGAAAGGGGTTGGAGCTAGTAGAGAAGCTCCATAGGGTGTGGGTCTCCACTCAGGGGTCAAGAGCAGTACTGTTGGGAATCATGCATGATAAAGACAGCCCTTACTCAAGACAGAAAAAGCCTGACGCCACACAAGAAGGAAAGACTGCCAATTTCATTTAGCATTGTTGCCTAGGGGGGATTTCAGGGTGTCCTGTCACGTGGGAGGAATGAGGAGGCACTAGTTGCGGAAGGCAAAGCTGGTAATAATTTAGGTTTTGTTTCATATATGACAGCAATACTAATAGTGTGATGACATTTGAAGGTGATACTGATGGCCCAACTTGAGTGGTTTTCTGGTAGTGGTAATGTCCGTTGTGTTGCCCTCTTTCATAGGTGTGAATTAAATCTGGCAGGAAAATTTACATAATTAGAATGGCAAGACAAAGGGAATAGATCATTTCAGAAGGACAAGCTGTACAATGGTATTTTGAATTAAGAAAAAAAGAAAAGATTGAGTGTCTGGATTGTACTAAAGGGGAAATTTGAGACTGGGCTCCATGGCTTACACCTGTAATCCCAGCACTTTAGGAGGCTGAGGCGGGAGGATTGCTTGAGGCTAAGAGTTTGAGACCTAGGCAACATGGCAAAACCCTATCTTTGCAAAACATTTTTAAAATTAGTGTGGTGGGCCGGGTGCAGTGGCTCACACCTGTAATCCCAGCACTTTGGGAGGCTGAGGTGGGTGGATCACCTGAGGTCAGGAATTCGAGACCAGCCTGACCAACATGGTGAAACCCCATCTCTACTAAAAATACAAAAATTAGCTGGATGTGGTGGTGCGCACCTGTAATCCCAGCTGGCCTAC